TTTAAAAGCTAAACGCAAACCTCAAAAAATATTATTCAGGTCTATATTTTAAAAGAGCCTGCTTTTTAGATCAAATTCGTGTCTGACGATGAGCTGTAGGTAGAGATGGAGAGAAAATGAGGGAACGATGATGAAATTATGGGTGGGTGGAGATGGAGAGAAGTTGAGAGAATGAGAAAACGAGAGAAAACAACGATAAATTGGGAGTGGAGATGGGTGGTCTCTATGGTTTGGCTGAAATTGTGAAGAAAACACAAAACTAAATACAAGTAGTAATCTTTCAAAAACAAATAGTAATAGTAAACTACTACTACTACTATTACTACCACTACTACAACTACTACAAATAATAATAATAATAACAATCTTAATCACTAATAATAATAACTATTAATAATAATTCTAAGATAATATTGATTGTATCATCATCATTAACAATGCTTTAGTTTCGGGCACTTAATAGACTGAATCAAAATGGCACATTATACTTTCCTTGCTTCTTATTTTCAATGAGGTTTTGAGTAGTAAATGCAGCAATGCATTGAGAGTCTAACGAAAACAACCTTATGTTTTATACTGGGTCATTATTGTTGTTGTACTATAGTGAACCATATTGTTAAAAAACTCCGACAGGAAAAAAAGAAGGGAAAAGCAAATCATCAAGTTAACATGATAGATACTTACTAAAAAAACAGGAGCCCAGAAGCTTGCAACGGTCAAAGCATTATGATTATCTGCCAATGAAAATGGTAGGGTCATATGAAATTAAGATATGCACTTTGAAGCCCATAACTTGAAAAGTGAAAAGGAATGCAATAGATATGGAACGACTCCGAATAGCCAACAAGGACAAACACATTTTAGTAGCATTTTCTTATTACTGATTGTTAATTTCACCAAATATTGTTAACTACTTGGTAAGGAAATGGCATATACAATTATCCAACAACTTGGTACGGAAATACGACAAGCAATGAGCACAGCCAGGTCGACGCTCTCTCCTATAGAAATTCCAATTCAACTTACAAGAGCTTATCTTTCTATTATTATGATGAGTGTTATGTGTTTGAGACTTAAAATCCCTAGGCCAATTTTTTGGAAAAGGGTTGCACATTTCAAGATTCCATTTTCCAGCAAATAACTATTTCCCATGGTAAGTAGTTCATTCGCACAGTTACAAGTTGTCCCTAGTTACATATGATCTACCATTTCTTGTCGTCTAGTTGTGTGCTATTTATGTTTTTTGTCTTTGAACACATGCTTCAAATGAAAAATGGTAGACGAGGTTACAAATATTTTTTAGCAACTGCACATAACCCATAGACAAAAAATAGCACTTACAACAACAACCCAGTAGATGATAGTAGGTCTTGGGAGAGTGTTGATACGCAGACCTTACCCCTACTCGAAACTAGAGCGGATGTTTCCATAAGGCCATAGCTCAAGTAACCCAACAGCACAAAGCACAAAAAAGGAGCAAGGAGCACCCTAATGGTAAAGAAAGAAAAACGCAAAAAAAAAATAAAAAAACATCAAGCGTAGAAAGCCCACAACAAGTTCACAAACTACCACGAAGCCCGAACGTGTACTCAACTATCATAGTCCAAGCTCTCACCTAAGGTATAAACTTCAATAAGGGACAAAAGTTTTAGGTCTTGTCTAATCGCCTCTTTTCAATTCTTCCTGCATCTACCGTTTCCCCCAAACCCACCGACCACGGTAAGCCTCTCAAATCTCTAAACCGGGCCCTCAATGCTCTGCTGCTTCGCGAGCCAAAGATTGCACACCACCTGAACCTACTTCCTGAGCTTATCCTGCAGGGATGCTACTCCATCCCGTCCCCGGATAACCTTGTTCCGAATCGTATCCAATCTTGCTGACAATATTGTACTGATCCACAAGACATATCGACGTGCATGTAGGAGCAAAACTGCTAAACACGAGGCTGTGGCAACGACGATGAATCAGAGTCTTATTGCTGAGGATTTAGGGTCACATACATGATTATTGAATTTTTGAAATTCAGTGGTGGTGAGCTAGATACTCAAAGTGGAAAAATAAGTCCGCTATTACGACACTCCATACGGGAAGCTTCATTACTAAGAGGGGTTGGTCAAGATTTTACAGAGCATAACGGACCTCCTAAATACTCCCTCCGTCCCCCTTAGATGTTCTCATTTTGACTTTTGGTGGTTTTTAAGGAGAGTTGAAAAAAGGTGAAAGTTTACCATAATACCCTTAATGAAATATGGGTGGAGTGTATTAAATGAGGTGGGTGAGGTGTAATAAATAAAGTAAGTGGGGGTAGTTATGGTATTTTAATTGTTAAAAAATGAAATGAGAAGATCTATTGTGGACAAAGAAAAAGGGCTATTGAGAAGATCTATGGGGGACGGAGGGAGTACTAGAATGCCGACAAATACATCTCTAGTAAGGATGTGCATTTTTCATCCCAGGCCTAAATCGACCCAAGACCTGGTCAAAACTGGCCAAGACCAGTCTCGACGAGTCCCTTTCCGGTCCAGTCTTCAGTCATCAAAATTGTTTTATTCTGTCTTTGATCGGTCCGGTCCAGTCCAAACCCAATGAAATCAGTGGACGGACCAACCCCATGGACCGGTTAGTTGGACCTCTCATAGTTCAAACCTTTTATTACTCCGTAATTCTAAAAGCCTTTTATGTTTTAACTCCTTTCCATTTGGTCTGTCAGGCCTACTAAATGCGAAGGAAGCAATAATTGTCTAGGTCTGGACTCTAGAGCGAACGACGGCGTGAAGAGTGAAGAAAGAAGAGGCGTGATTTGTCTGCAGTTTGAACCCCAGTTGGAAAATCACCATCTCCCCATGTCATATAGCAGCTATGCAGTCACTGGGCTGCAACAGTGCCACTATGCATGCAACATCTCCATTCTCCGCAACTAGCGATTCAGCGAACAATAAGCCTCAATGTTGTTAAACCTCTTTAAGAAAAGTAAAATTTGCACTAAATAGTACTAAAACATATGTCCCTTCCCCATGGTAATCAAACTCGAGATTCTATGCAGGATTGCTAGGCCTTATGAAGATCGCAACTCGGATCGTAAGATCCTACACACACACACACACACACACATATATATACGTATGTATGTATGTATGTATGTATGTATATATACGTATGTATGTATGTATGTATATATGTATGTGTATATATATATATATGTATATATATGTACACACACACACATATAATAAAGGTAATAAATTAAATATGAAGGTAATAAATTTTGTATAATAACTATGAAGATAAAGGTAATAAATTAAAAAGAAAAAAAGAAACTTGACCAAAAAAATCACTGCCAGAAGCCTAAAAGGAAACTGGAAACAAATTATTAAAAAAAGAAAATCACTACCAGTAGGTAAGAATTGTAAAACGACTGCCAGTAGGTAAAAAGCACTACCAGTAGGGAAGTAGATAAAAATAGCTACCAGTAGGTAAAGATCACTCCCAAAGCCTAGAAACATAAAACAGAAAGAAAAAAGAAACATACTTGTAAATTAACTGGGCAAAAGTGACAACCGCGTGCGAAGGCCGAAGGGAGTAGGCAAGTAGCAAAGCTCGAAGAGGAGTGCCATGGCTGATGTGGGTTGTAACTCTGTAGGTATTTGTGCGTATTTGTGTGGGAGAAGGGGTGTATTTACACACAGGGAAAAATCGCTTGGAAAAGGTCTCATTCTCGCGTAAAAATCAAAACGACGAAACAAAACCTTTTCGAATTTCCGCATGTGTATTCATCTCTCTTTTCGATCGGCGATCTCAATCAATTTTACGATCCAGATCGTCGATCGTACCGATTCCAAGGTAATTTGCGATTTTCAGTGCGATTTAGATCGGAAATAGGCTGGCGATGCACGGAATCCTACAATCCGGATCGCGAGTTTGACTACCATGCCCTTCCCAATATAGTACTTAAAACTACTGATCTATCTATCTATATCTCTGTGTGTGTATAAATATATACATATATATAGTACCTAAAAAAATTTATTCCCTAAATAGAATTTAATTATAGTACCTAAACCCCTATTTTGAAGGATAGATATGGGCGGGAGAGGGAAAGGCCAGTTCTAAACTGCAAACTATAGTTACCGGAGAAGGGTATTTTTGTATTTTTGGACTAATATTAAATAAATAATAAATAATTTAAGTACTATACAGGGAAATTAAAACATTAAATACTACATTGGGAAAATAGCTATGATTTAGTACTATATAAGTAAATTTCCTTTAAGAAAAAGCATTAGTGTTGCTAGCATCTAGTAATGATATTCCAAACAAAAGACATTGAATTCCAATGTATTTTTTAACGCAAGAAATACAATGTCAAAAGATCCTTTCCCTTTTTTAGTCTTGAATGTGTTGACTCTTGAGCAATGAGCTATCTTCCCCCAAAAAAACTATGATGTTGACTACTGTTGAACTAATAATTTAAGTACTCCCTGCAACCCAACCATCCCTACTGCGTGAGATTTGAAGAATGGCATTTAAAATTGAATTCGGTCCTCATTCGGCTGGGGCCACAAAATTGAAAATGTTCGTGATGATTATGGACAAATGTCTCTCACTACTAATGAGACCACGACGACAGAGAGTCGTGTCATCATGATGGCATAATATTGGATGACGGTTGTTGATACTGCAAAATATGGACTCAAATATTTTAATATGTTGTTTGTGTGCTTGCGCTCTTTTACATTTTGTTGCTCGAAGTTGAAGGATATTGGTTTGTTATGCACTCCTCTTTGGATTTATGTTTGTTTATGTCCTACCTTGAAACTTAGTTTTGTTAAGATAATGAATGTGGTTATAATTAGTGATACAATATATATTTAAGATGTTTCGACTTGTCGACGTGATAACTATGGTTAGTATCTAGACATGGTCGAGAGTGTGAATAGTGTAAAAAATTGATTGTTGCATTTATTTTAGAATGAAGTACTTATTCGTTAACATTAGGCTAACATACTTTGATTCTATTCATTTTGAGCCGAGATTCTTTCAAAGACAAACTACTTTGTATGGGTACAGGAAAGGTCTGAGAAGTCTACATACATCTTACCCTCCCACTTGTTGGATACACTGGATTTGTTGAGCCCCACGTTGAGGAATAACATGGCTTCTTGATGTTGTGTTGTGCCTTGAAAGGAGTTAACATGGCTCCGAGGATAAAATGGAAAAGAACACAAACTTGAAGGGGTAATAAAAAACTGCCTTCCTAGCTTATTTGTGACTTCAAAACCTACAGATGGTGCTCAAGCTGAACTCAAGAGTTTTCTACACTAGTACCTAAGTTAGAACGAGAGGGATAAATTTCGGGGGAGGGTGGTTTTGATACAATCCTAAAACCCAGCAGGGGTTAAGTGGCTCTTATAGGGAAACTTTTGGTATTAAAGTTGTTATACTATATTATTGTTTATGTCATGTTATTAATCTCTGCCCATTTCCAATGGAGCTAAAAGAGTCATTAATGACAATGTTTTAGTTTCAGGCACAAAATGGACTAAATCATAATGGAACATTAAACTTACCTTGCTTCTTACTTTTGTGAACAGTAAATGCAGCAATGCATCTAGGGTCTAAGAAAAACCATTGCATACACGGTACATCTTGATCCCAAACCCCAACCAACCCCAACAGAGGTGGAATCATACTGAGTTGTAGACTTATTATTAATCTGAGCCTGATTAATGTTTATTAGTGGAATCGTGTGTTCCTGGATATTTGTTCTTCATAGTCAGTTAGGATCCACTAAGATCATGTGATTGTTATTCTTGGTAAATAGGACTAGTGTACGGTTAGTTGACCAGATTGGGTAGTTACTTGAGTCTATACATATTTAATACAGTAGCAAACACAAGGAGAGGATAAAAAATATTTGGAATTGCATTTTTGGAGTTAAATAGGGCTTCTTAGTCTCTCTTATAACCGAGATTCTTGATTAAAAAAGGTTAAGGAGATATGTTATACTTATTATTAGTTATTAGTTTCTGGCACTTGCCATTCTGACTATATGAAAAATTAAGATTAAAAGAGTTGTTCACTTTCTATGTGCAAAAGTGAAAAGTTTGTTTTTTCTCCAATAACATTAATTTTTTAGTACAATAAATCAAACAGAGAGCTTGGGGCAAAAGTATCTTACTTTTGGAAACAAAATCATGCCACGAATATTGCTGAATATCCATTCCAACCACAAACCTTGTGGGACTCACCAAGGGCTTAATCTGAAGCATTGTCACATATAGCATGATATAAACTTACTACGACAAAAGCATAATGAAACATTACTTGAAACTTACTAGTAGAAAATAAGCAAAACTAAATTTGCCTCCCAAAACAGCAAGCCAAAATGCAAAATATCTGCACCAAATAATTATGTTGTGTTAAATCCAGGATGCCAATAGTTACTACTTTACTTATCCAAACAGTTATACACCAATAGACAAAACTGCAGTACATAAGCTTACGAATTCGCAGTGCGCATTATGATGGCTGATACAAAATCAGAAAATCTTAATCAAGTTTAAAAATGAATGCAATGCTTCCTCGGAAGAACAAGGAGATTGTATTGTTTTGATTTACAAAAGTATGGACGGACGGTTAACATAAGGAACTTATTCCAATGAGATCAGAATCATTCAGATCAGGTGAAGAGAACAAGTCCATAGTCAGCTTCAATGTTGTTGATCCTCTCATGAAACACTAGATTCAATGAATTGTACAGTTCTGTTAAGTTATTGCATATCAATGTCATCGGTGGGACGTGGGAGAGCGTAGTACTGTAAACCCTAAAGTAATGTTTTGGCCATATCAACTCATATGTGGCTAAAGCCTAGCATTCAGCTTCCTCATTTGATCACATCAAGTTTCATACATTTTCACCAGCAAAAAATACTCAAAGGTGAAACGTCTCTCAACTAGAGAAATTGCCTGGCCAACATCAAAAAATCGACCCAAGGGCGACCTTTAACTACAAAATACACTATTTATTGGAATGATGCCATCTTAATGTACTTTCCATTTTCACTCGTAAAATGAAATATCGGAAAATGAAACATCTATCAACCTACCAAGTATATTTGGATTGTTTTGGTTAGGTTGGTTTTGAAATAACTGTCAATATGAGAACCTGCAAAATAACGGACACAACCTGAGGGTGACCTTTGCCATCATAACACATTATTGGTTTCCTTGGTGCCTTTTTTATGACCCTTAAGACATGATCACATGAATATAAGTATCACAATCACTCTACAGGGAAGAGCAAATTTACTGGCATACATTGTTGTAGAAAACATTGAAAAGCCTCAGTTAATCATCCACCTTAGCACTATGCCTCTCCTTGATTGTGGGTCCACTTGAGGTACTCTTTAAATGGAATAGGTTCCCCCATTGGGCACTCGATATAGACATGACCATAGGTCGTAGCCACAACACATGTATCAACATTCATCTAAACAACACATCACTTCTTTGTTTTTCAGGATAATTTTCAGATTGCTATCCTACTTCGGAGGCTCATATCTCCACAACCGTTTGGTGGAATGACGCAAAAAAAGGTAGACAAAATTTTGGCAGAACGTCCTTGTCGACTTCAAATGAGGATATCTCATTAAAGACAACCCAGAATTGAGTGAAAATCATTGGCCAGGCGTGGATAACAAGCTGAACTTGCTACAGTAGAAACCAAGAAACCTCACAGGAAGAGATATTGTGTATCTCCCTATGTGAGCAATTCTTCACCGCAGCAAATTTCAGGGAGAAACTTCAGATTTCACGTTCTTAACACGTTTGCATTTGTTGGTCCTCCGGGTGATTTCAATGCTTCGGACAGTCTTTGAAGCTTGGCTTCGATGATAGTTTCTGTTCTTGAAGAGAGAAGGACGTGAATGAGTCCCTTGGTGGATGTAGAACAGTTAGCTCTGATACCAGATGATGTGCCCAAACTGGGGGCATTATCAAGTAGAGAAAAAATCGGTGGTTGAGGATGTATATAGGTAGGGACAAAAATGGGGAGTGTGATATGACTGTATAAGGAGTTCCCTTGGGTATTTTTATAAAAGAAAATGTATCGGTCTAGGATAAGAAATGATGAGAGACGAAATGATAGAGTAAAAATAGGAAGGGATAAACCAAGTTGGTGCTAAGAGATATGACACACCTTTATCTTAACTTGGGGTTATGTCTAGAATTTCATTAAGATATGACACACTTCATTAAATACCAAGAACCTAAAACTCACACTTAAAAACCACTCTTAAGATATAGAATTAGGAGTTTTGACTAAAATAGCATCACTATTTTAAAGAATTACTCAAGAATAAAACAAGGTTTTCATCATTGTTTTCAGGGCAATAAGTCAAGTCGAGTTGTTGAAGAAGAGACTAGTCGAATAGTTGACTAGTCGGTCCGACTAGTCGATGATTAGTTGGCAAGTCATAATAAGTACTGCATTCTAATAAATATATCATCATTCAACATTCTTTAAAACAAAATTTAGTTGCACAAATAATAATAGAATAAAAGAAAACAAAAATCTTGAAATAAATAGAAACATTATTTAAAAAGGTTCAAAAAGGGTGTAGAGTATTAGTTACACTTGTAGGGGCCTATCCGTCGGCCCTCTAAGAAAAGAAAATAAAAATGAAAAGAAAGTCAGGCTAACAATATATGTCAGAACGAAAAAGCTATTTGTAACTTAAACGGGACGGTGGGAGCCACAAACAACAGCGTCGTCGACGAACAACCACGGCAGCAGCAGACCAACTTCCGGCGGTAGCGACGGAGGATCTACTTTTGCCATGGGTTAGGGTTTTCAGATCTTTGATTATTCCGTCCTTCACTCTAGTCACTAGTTGCTAGTCGCCACCGCCAATTGTCCCTTCCCAGCGGCAAGACGCATAGTCTACGACTAGTCGACGACTTAATAACCCTAGTTTTCATTCATTAAAATCTGCCTACAATTGCCATATGGCCGTAGTTTATATAAGGGATATAAAAGGGGAATTCTAAGCTAATGATCATATATGAAGACAAACTAATACATATGCTGGAAATGCTAGCCAATTTCCACGCCACATTCACATGGGAGATGCATCTCATTATTATGTAGAAATGCATGAAAACACTTGTTCTTTCCTTAAGAATGTACGCCACATGCTACGCAAATCAAGAAAACAAACTCCTTAATTCAATCATTGAAGTTACGGCGGCTAGGCGAGTCTAGGCGTTAGGGTACCTTCCAATCACCTAAGCGATTAGGCGTCCGCCTAGGCGTCCTCTAGGCGAGTGGGCTATGACAACTTTATTATCTTATATGTATTAATATAAAAGCATATAATATGAAATAAGAAATTAAAGAGTACATATGTGCCCAAAAAAGAGTAAATATTTTGAAATATATGAATGAATGTTGTTTTTCAAAAATTAAAATTTAAAATTATATTAAAAAAATAAGTATATTTTTTACACAAGTTAGTAAGTTGGACTTTTTAAACTTTTTTAGAGTGAAATCAAATTTGGGCCCAACACTCTTTTAATAAAGAGCTATACTTAATAAGTGCAAAGGCCCACTACTCTTTTAATAAACTCAGCCCAAATAAGTAACCTAAATAACTATGGAGAGTTGCGGGTTTAGACTTGGAATCTGCTGGATCTCGCAAGTCTCTCTCCCTTTTGTCTTCTTCGGATCTTCTTCTCCTCCTTCGTCCTCTCTCAGGCTTCTTTCAGTCATCTTCTTCTCCCGTGTTTCCCCAAAAAAAACCTAGGCGAGCAGTTTGGCATCCATATAACCTCGCCCAGACGCCTAAACATCGCCTAGGCAACGCCTTGATAACTATGATTCAATGGAATACGTTGCAGCATACCTTTCCTCAAATCAGAGCTGATTGTGTCCAAGTGCTAGCCTCCTTTTTTGGTAGTAGAATTCGGCCAAAGGGTGAGGGAAATGGCTGATGGTTGTTTACTTTAAGTTTAGGCTAAAATGGAGGTGGAAATAAGAAAAAGAAAAAACATTTGTACACAAAAGTCAAAGTTGATGGTTTCTTATTTGCTTGGGTAGTGTTTTCGGCCAAGGTAGATGGGGAATACAAAGCAAACATTTTGAGGGTATTTAGGGGGTAAAACAAAGTCAAAATAAAATGATGGTGATCATTTGGCATATTAGTAAATGATTATTGCAGGCCTGGTGTTGAATTTAATGATCAAAAGAATTTGATAGCTTGTCTTCTTTTAGCTACTGATTTTAGTCAAGACTATAACCAAGGAGGTAAAAAGACTTCTTTTGAGTTAAAATGGTGAGGTGAATCCAGCCATGTGTGTAGGGATTGATCACAAAGACTAAGGTTGACTAAATACCGACTTTAAAACACAAAGTTGACGCAAAGGTCTTTATTTTAGATTTCTTTCCTTCTCAAATTTGCTCATGGCTTAATATGATTAGGAAAGGTTCTATTTTGGAGTAAATATAAGGAAATAAAAGAATTTAAATAAATTGGGAGTGGTGGGTTTATGTGGGATGGTCCGGGGGTACATCACCCTCCATCCCATAAAAAGTCTTTATTCACAAAGGTACAACTTTACTGTACTTTGTAACAGATTATAACAATTAGAAATTGTCAAATATACATGTCTTAAGTTTTAGTTGTTGGTTTAATTTATTTTAACACACTCACCTCATTTGGGAAACTTTTATTATTTCAAAAATTTAAATATAATGAAAAATAGCTTCTAATATTTAAATTGGGTTATTTTTGGGACACTAAAGAGTTGTAGAACAAGATTGTTTTTATGGGACGGAGGGAGCTTTATATTATTGGGTGGTAGATTTATAAGACAAAGCTAGCCCATTAGAGTTGGGAACTCCTATGTAGACTTTCATTCAACAACAAACTATAAGATAAAATACACAATTGCAATCAATTATGGAGTAGCAATAAACTAATCCTTCAAAGACACAGGCACACAAAAAATAGTATTTGGATACAAATAGAAATTACACATTCCCGTCACTGCACTGAAATCTTTGTAATTAAGCATTGTGTTGTCGGCACTTGGAAATGCATCACCATTTTATGTTATAACTCACAATACTACCCAAACGAAAAGAACAAACATTCCCTGTAAACTTGGACTACCTCCTAACTTTAGACATTATTACATTTTTTTGCTATATGTTAAGGCCATTAACCACTTATACTTCCAAATCAAATAGAGAAAAAAAAGAGATGTTTGATATTTCTGCATAAACTTAGGTTTGATTGTTGTTAATCATTGATATCTTTTTAACTTCTTTAGTTTGATTGTTCTCAAGAGGTTAAGCCTTAAAGTATGTCCAAGGTCAAGCATTATACACACATAAAAGAACATATCATATCATTAAATGAATATAGTGAAGAACAAATATAAATGATCAAAAGGGATTACTTGGTGAAGCTAGAAGTTCTCTCATACATGCCACGGCCGACATAGTAATGTTCCTTCAATCATAGATGGAAAGAATTGTTATTCATTGGTTATATAAAAACTAAGATCTTACTATCTTAGTCCTTCAATAATCTAAGACAATATAACAACCTGGTGCATCCATTTGACAAACCGGATTAGGAGCCACTGATCACATTGGTTCGTCAACCGATGGCACGTTGGAATTTGGAGCAGGAAGCTTAGAAACAAGTGGACACCGCCATATATGGAAAGAGCAATGACATAAATCTTGAAGAATATTAAATCTCCATTTGGCTTGGTTTTCTCCACAAGGCCTTTCCTGGAGTTATAAGTAAATTAAAAGTTGAAAAGGAAATGCACATGATGATGTTAGAAGAAAAAATGGAAAAAAAACTCGCCAAATGCATGACTTTAAAGAAAGCAAAAAGCGCAAAAAAACATAAAGGGAACAAGTAAAACATACACATAAAGGAAACAAATAAATACTGAAGCTGCGCTGAACCAAAGAAAACGAAGAAAAATTCGGCTAACAGCTAGGCGTCTTGATGTAGAATAGGCTCCATACATCATAATGACATCCAATACACCTATGTGTGAACAAACAAGGAGCAGCTCAGTGACAACATTACTAATTCAGAACTAACAGCATTCACATATATAAATGACATACTAAACATTCTCAAAGCACTTGTGCATCTCTTATGTGTGCGTGCACCAAACATCTCCAAAGCATAAAAGGATTATTATACTACGCTCTATATGAGATTGCAATGTCAAAAGAATCATACTTTCCAAAAGTTTCATCACAAAATAAGTAGGCCCAAGACTCAGAATTTCTCGTAAGGTCTTTGAGTTAAATTTCCCATCATTGAAAGCAATAATAGTGAGTCCCTGCAGAAAAGGATAGTTGTAAAGAAATTATATCCAAATAAAAAGGGATGGCCTCTAGTAGGATTCATCTCAATGCTGATTTGTGAATGTCAACAAGAAAAATGAAATGGCAGTCAAGGGGTGTGAAAGCAAAAGAGCGAAAAACAAATAAACAGTAGTGTGCTTTTATAATTTACACACCTGAAACATCATCACAAGAAATATCCATAGTCTATGAAAACTATGATAAAGATGTAAGAAAGTTCGATGCTCAACAAAAGAAGTCTTTCCCTGCCGTTTGCTGCTTCCACTAGATTTAAGAATGTTCTATAACAAAGAGCAAGTTTGAGAGGGGGTCAATTTGAATTACATATACTCTGTATAATGGTGCATGCAAAGTTGAAAACAAAAACATATGTCATCATATATGAGATATGCCACATAATTCAAATCATGTCTATCATTAAATTTGAAAGTAATAATATACTCCCTATATGCTAAAATGATTTTCACATTTGACTTTTCATAACCAATGCAACACCTTGACCAATAACTTTATTAATTAATAAATACTCCATCCATCCTGGATTAATTGTCCCATTACAGATAACAAAACTTGACTGAGTTTGTTTTCAATGCAATTCATTTAAATAATGATACAAAAATTCAAAAAAAAACTACTATATTTTAAAAAACTACATCGATTTTTCTTTTAAAATGAAAAAGGAGATGAGTAGGTGACATGACGATATTATTTTAAGAGATGATTAACGAAAATAAGTAAAGAAAGAAGAAAAAAGTTAACTTGTAAATAATGAAGTGACTTGATTGATTCAGGGTGGAGGAAGTACTAAAAATAATTGGCATTTCCAATCTACATCTCAAAATGAATCCAATGTTTTAAATTACGTTAGAAAAATATTTAAGTTTTCCTCAAATCATAACCAAAATTTGTAATATTGGACCCAAAAAGTCAAACTTAAAGACCATTTTGGGATGGTGGAAAATTACATTGTCAGCAGCAAAACAAACCCAAACCAGATCCTGATATAATATTGCATGCAAGAGCTAAATTTGATATCTCTAACTTACAACGATATTAATATACTCCATCCGTCCCATAAAATTCTCGAGAGTTTGACTTCAAAAAATTTAAGAAAGTTGTTGAAAAGTAAAAAGTGTGGTTAGAATTTGTTCAAAGGAGAGAGAATTGTGGGTAGCTACTAAAGAAAATAAAGTAACTAATAATTTTTTTTTGAAAGGTCCAAAAATTAAAATATTCTATAAAATAAAGTATGATAACATCCAACCAACTAACTGTTATACCCCTCGATGCCTCCACCAAAACCACCCTCTCCCAAATATCCAAAAATCTTTTATTTCTTTCTTTTTATTCAAATAAAATCTTCCCCACTTATTTGAAAGCCCCTGGCCGAAAAGAAGAAGACAAAACCAAAAAACCTTTGTTTGTTGTTATTTCCTTTTTAAAAGCCTTAAATAATCAAATAACACACTTCCCCTCTTCTTCCTACATTAGGGACGAAATTTCAACCCCTTTTTGGTTCCTAAAATCCAACCAAATCACCACTTACCACAAAGGAACAAAAAACAACGAAAAGTCAAAAAAAGTGGAATAGTAATTTCTTGTCCTTTTGTTGACTAATTCCACACCCAACCATACCATGTTCCTTTCTCTCCTCTTCCCCATTAAAATCCAAAATTCCCCCCCCCCATAAAAATCCAAGGAAATCTCCCGTTAAATCCCCACATCACATTCCTTTGAGTTTAGGCACATAAGGCCGAATTCCACCCTACACACGAAGCCAAAGGATTTCTTTCACTAGCCACACTTTGTCTCCTTTGTCCTAATCCCTTAGGGCCGAAATTTCTACTTCCAAAACAAGCCAAATTAGTCCTCAATAAACCCACACAACACTCCTTGGATATTTGCCACATAAGGCCGAATTAATACACCACAACAATCCAAACAAAATACACTCCTTTTATCCTTAAATTCAACTCAATTGGATGTTTGTGATAATGTCAAATGTAAGGAAGATTGAAGGAAGTTTCCTAGTTGTATTTTGTTTTCATTTAAGTTGTATTTCCCCTCCCACTTTCCTTGTATAAATTACGACCATGGGGCCTTGTAAACCCACCAGATTATTGAATTAAAAAAACTTGTGTTACTCTTTGAGTAATTCCTTTAAAATAGTGTGATGCTATTTTAGCCAAATTTCCAAATGAAATATCTCTAAAGTTGGCTACTTTTGAGTGTGTGTTAGGAGTCTGATTTTATACATTAGTAGTGATTATTAATGTGTGAGAGAAGATAAAAGCCCCAAGTTAAGAGAAGAGTGTGTCATATCTCTTAACACCAACTTGGTTTATCCCTTCACTTTACCTCTGCCCATTTCATTCCTCACCATTTCTTCTTCTTGAACTTATTCTTTTCTTTCATTAAAAACATCAAAAAGAACTCCTTTCCCACACTCCATAATTTTGTTCCCTTCATTTTCCCTTCACCATTCCACATTTCCACCTTCAAATAGCAACTTGATTATACCCCGGGTCTCGGGTATAACACTAACCAAGCCTTAATTCTGAATCCATGGAGTTGGCAACTTGAGCCAAATGAAAATCTTGTACAAAGTTCTATTTCTACTTTCTTTATGTCATTATATCTAAGATTAACCAAAAATATAGATATAAATTTAAATGTCGAGAACTTTAACAAGGACTAGAAAGAGAAGTGCTTGGATAAAAAATTGACCCATTAATTTGGAAGCTGATTTGTTAACTAACATTGTTTAGGGCCAAAAGGTGAGGTTAGAGGTGAGGAACAACAGACCGTTTGTGGAAATATCAGTATATCACTAAACCTGCAATCAGCTATCATGATTTAATATAACCTTATAAAGAAAATTCACTTAAACATATTATGAATGTGAACAGGAATGCATCAGACCTTTGATCTTGGTGTCGGCTTCAGAAAGAAGGGTGAAGTTATTCTCCATGGCCAACTAAGTTCAAAGCAATTAAGTGACCTATAAAAGAAGAAATACAACTAAAGATAAGATGACTACGATTAATTTATTGTATCTATGACAAGGAGAATTCAAACTTATACAACCTCAAAAAAGACCTTACCAGAAGTACTCATTGAAATCATCATAATTTCTCCAAGCTGAATGAGGTGCCCGCCCATTATCATTATTTCTAGCTTCCTGCAAACATGAAGTTGGTTAGCCAGCTTTGAGCTATCTTCCATCCCTCCCCCTCGGAACAAGATGTCTTTGTATGCAACAAGCTTTCTTAGTTTCTAAATCACTAGCTCTCATAGTTTTATGTATATCTATAAATATACACAAGCATGCACATATACATATACATATATTGTCATGATAATGCAATAATGATATACAAAAGATATTTAGCTGGTTTGAGTGAGAGTATCCCCATGTCATTTTCCAAAAACAATAAACAATTAAATAGCAAGCATAGAATGTGTCTCTCCTCCACAAATAACAAACCTAAGTATTTTAAAGCAAACTTTAATCCTATCATATCCTCAGCCAAAGAAAAGTCCTCAAGGTTGTCCCCAATGACTATATCATATTTTTCCAAATGTGAAAGTTTCTAGTACCAAGGTAAATGGAGACAAAGATTAGTTAAAAGTAGATCCGCAACACCCAATCATACACATTCAATAAAAAAATATCCAACACACTGTAAATCGATATATATTCAAGATAAAAGCATCAAATAGTTAATGACCAACGAATCTACTTTGATATAAATAAATATGGGGTGGTTTAAATGTGGAGATGAGGTATTGGTTTGATGTGATATAAAGTAGAAGGGTAAAAATGGAAGTTTATTATTAAAAAATCTAAAAAAAAGAAACGTAAGCTTTCTAATGGAACGGATAAAAATGGGAAGTGTAAACTTTCAAATCGGACGAAGGCAGTATTAAGTATAGAAGTCTAAATATAGTAATCTCAGTTTCAAGAAGTTATAAGAAAAAATCATATCACTAAAAAGTTTTTTAATTAACAATATTACAGTAAGAAGGTAAATTTCAATTATAATGTTGTGGGATTCAGAGACATGCAAACAGTAGGTAATGATGGAATTTGTGTAACAAACATGGAGCTAGAAAAGTATCTAGCCATCTAGCACAGAAAATAGAAACCTTATTCTGAGCATACCGCAGCAAGAACGTCATAAAGAGGACATATAACTTGATCAAGAAATGAAACACCACTTTCAGCAACGCAGCTGTTTGCGGACACTGCAATCTGTTGGCGTACTATCTCCTCCATCTCCCTTCCCATCTGATTTTAATACAGGGCCATTCCAGAAATGAACACAAATTTACGGTGTCATTGTCATGTGATTGGTCAGGAAAAGGGAGCAGAAGTATATAATAAAATGTGAACTACACAACCAAGAGGAAGATGATGGGTGTCAAATTCGATTACTAAGTTACAGATATGCAAAAGTTCCTTACTTAAACATACCTACCATAAAAAGATGTCTATTTCAAAACACTCCATTGGTTTTGAAATATAATGGTCATTGACTTTCAGAACACTTCTAATAAAACTAAATGTGATGTATGTTTATAAAATGTCATTTCAATAAGGCGCACACCATCAAATTATTTTAAAAAGATAAAGGTTGTAATAGTGAATTTGAAATGAATAATGGTAGTGGTGTTTAAATAATAAAAAAGGGCATTACTTTGGGGGCAGATAAAAACAAACAGCAAACTAAATGGCATGTAGTACCAGCAATATTATATGAAATGCTGGAATTTTCGTACATGATGAAATATGTAGCACAAGCATTCTGGAAGAAATCGAGCATTGCCAGCTTCACCCCATATCAAGAAATACAAAGAAATGAACAGCACCTTCTTTTCCTTGTTGATAACATCAAGGCTGCAAACAATGATTGAAAGAATCTGTGAATCTGAATAAAGAATACATGGCGAAATTGAATATTTTATTTTTAACAATGCTACGAGATATA